GCTTGGAAAATAACTTGCTCTATACATTAGTTCACTGAGATACAAATGACCTGACCTCGGGAAACAATGGACCCCTGCCAAAAATCCCCATATAATTGGCGCCCTTCATAGGTGCCAGAGTTGAATTTTACTGTCAAACCAAACATAAACATAAACATTCAACAGAGAGAACAGCGCAATGTCCATGAAATTGAAGCAAAAAAATACTTTTTTTTTTTTGCATTTTTATTTAATTTTGTCAATTTTATGAAGTACAGTATTATAGTGTGCTATTTTTAAAAAAGGACAATGCGTTTCTTGTTTTCTTTGGGCAGCTGCAAATTTTCATTTCAAAGGGGAAAGATGATTTCAGATGTCAAGAGTGTTTTCAATTTAACTCAAATCTCAAGGGCACAATTTGACACTAACCAAATTGCTGATTTGGCAACACTGACGGTGCATTTGTACACCAGATCCTCTCTCTTTATAGCCGCATTGTCAGTGTAAATAAGTCGATGCGGATTATGGAACTCCCAAAACAAAAATGTCCTTTCTCGGCAGGAATTGTTGCTGACCCCCGCGCAGTTCTGAGCAGGGCAATTGTGCCGAGCGGGCGGCGGAGCAGATCGGAGTCCTCGCAAGGTGGTTTATCGGACTGGCGCCGCCTCCCCCTGGGGCCGGCGTGCGCTCCCAGCAGCCCGTGGTGTCCTGCGCCCCGCCCTCGCCGTCACTGCCCGCCAGAGTCCATGTGCCGGGTAAGGACACATCCGAGCGTGCCGCTTTAATTCTTCTTTTAAGATCACGTAAAAAGCGCGTGGCCATCCGCAGGAGGAGGTGCGGTTCGTCCGCCAGGAGCCATGTGCCTCCCGCACACCAACAGCATGGACAGCAAGCTGCAGTGGGCGGGGCCGGGGGGCGGCACACCACTTCGATCGCGAGGAGGAGGCGTTCCACTGGAGCCATTTATGCACCAGGTGAGGGGGGAACAGAGTCCAAAAGGGTTCGCTTCCAGGAGGCCGCTTGATTTGTGTGGTAATTGCAAGTTTTCCCTGTCGGAAAAAAAAATAGACAGTGACAGTTGCTTTCAAAACAGCAGAGAGTTTTTTTTTAATCTGTCAAATTTCACAAACTTTCTCATGGCTTTGTGGAATACAAGGCACCCCCATTCATTTTACAGACCCACCCACCGTGAGATAAGAAACGATTTTAGTCCCACAATCGGGACATTTGCATCGGCAAAAATCTGATGGAGAGGAAGCGATAAGTTTCACACATAAATCGAAATGCTACTGACCTAACAGAAGGAGACGTGTTTAAGGATAATTCATTGATGGATCACATAAAAAAAAACATTTTTAATATCTATCCATATCTATCCATTTATTCAAACACAGGACATTTCAAATTGAGAGCCATGGATATTTCAACACAAAAGGTGCAGAAACACATGTAGACAGCCAGTATAATACTCGCATTCATATGTTCTTGATCTTCTGAGAAAAAAAAACAACAAATATTACTGCAGCTGACTGAATCATTTAGGTGTTGTGTAACTCGTCTTTGTTTGTGTCAGTGTTATACTGCTGGCTGGGGGCCAAGGTGTCCACAGTCCAGGACAATTGCCAGAGAAAAATGTTCCATGGGTTTCATTTTTCGCAACGTGCGTTTTCAGGTGGGCGGTCACACCAGCATGATGCGCTACGATGACCACACGGTGTGCAAGCCACTGATCAGCAGGGAGCAGCGCTTCTATGAATCTCTGCCTCCCGAGATGAAGGAGTTCACCCCTGAGTACAAAGGTGGCCACTGATTCAGGCGCTTTTTGGGACTGTACATACATGCCCACGCTTCCCGATGCCGCACACTATTGACATGTTCTATGCGAAATGCTCTCACACCAAAAAGGTGTTATTTTATTTTTTAATA